ATACTCTGTTATCGAGTTTTTCATATTATATCATGTGTAATGCTGTCATTCTATTTATTTATTTTCACCGACGTCCAACAGAAACAGATAGATAGACAGGACAATGAAGGATTCTGCATAACATTTCAACCAAAAATTGATGAATAGATGACATTTGTCAATTCCGAGCTGTCTGTGTAGAGAATAACTTAGGTTGTGTATACAACTCAAATATATAATTCAACACGTAGTTACTCATGACTAAAATATGGTCATGTGATGAAAAAGACTCTAAAATAAAGTGACAAAAATGTTATATTACTTTTTCTGAGATTGATGATTCAATCATGAGGCTTTTGCTGTTCTTCAAGAAAACTAACTTCATTATTAAATGAGCTATCCGAATTTCTCCATTAATGATTCATTATCTTGCCCTGACGAAGTATTTAACGATTCGCAGTTTCCGTTAATTATTGTGTCATTGAGTGTATAGATTTTTCTGTTTGCTGTTTTTGTGCCTCACTTTTGACCTAGTGAACTTTTATTAATTTTTCTAACTGATTGATAGATTGGGTCCATGTCTGGATACCTATTGGTTACTAATTTGTCTGAATATTAAGCTTGTAGGAATTCTCTGACATCCTTTATGCTTCTTCTGTCTAAGATCTCCGCATTTTCAAAGTTGGATTCATGAACATTTTTGATATGAATGAAAAGATGTTATGACCTTCAGTACAATTAAAAAGACAAAATCAACGTGGGACCTGTTACATAAGTGCGTCGGTTAAAGTTTCTGTAAGTGAATGGGCAGAAGATGACCCCTTTACCCAGTGCGGTGCTAATCATAGTTGTTTCAGCCGCTTTTTTGTAAACGACATTTTATTTGTCTTCGTCGACTTTTGTGTTTATTAGTATGCATAATGCCTTTTGATGGGAATTTGTTAGTTTATGAGCCACACCAATTCGAAATGTTTTCAGTAATCATGTCGCAATTTCTGACATGCTTTTTATGAACAGTAGGATGATCCGTTTTCTGCTTTTCGTGGATAACCTTTTAGTTGCTGATGAATGAGGTAGACATCTTCTGATTAAGCTGCAGGGGTAACCGTTTTCCTGTAGAACAGACATCAGGTGATTTTCGTTGTTTATCCGTGAAAATGTACCAAGTTAAGGCAGTAAACAAATAATTTTGTTCGTTGTTCCCACTTCAGTTGAAGATTTGATCAAAGTATGTGTTGAATTCTTGTGCATTTGGGTTTTTGATTTTTTTCTACACCTTTTCTACTAACTGAGAAATCCAGGTATTGTGGTTTGTTATTCTGTTCCTTTTCCACTATGAATTTTATGTCACTGAAAACACTATTGGTCAAACTGTAAGTGTTTTTCAATTCACCTCTATGTTGATAACTAAAGTATCACCTCCATATAGCGGATTCAAACTTTTAATTTGATCGCAGATAAAATAATGGTTTCCAGTGTCTGTGTTTTTACTTCTGTACTAATCAAGATGTCAGTGATCCCACTGAAATTCCCTCCACATGTTTTTACATCCTACCAGTGAATTGAAAGCACGTTGTCAAACAAAGGTCAGTGAGTTCCAACAGACTTGAACACAGAAGTTTTGTGTGTCCTGAAAGCCTTGAGTCTCCAGTAACGAGAATAGTCAGCATCCTTAGCTACTTGTGGTTTAATTTGGTGGTCATAGAGCTACAATGTCAAAGAACAACACTAATTTGTCATCGTCTATACGAATGCCTTAAATTCTATCGAAAAATTCTGTAAGAGATCTGACGGAACGTTCGCATCACTCCACAACATATTTTAGCTTCAGTGAAAGGTCTCTAGATAGAGTAAAGACTGGGGTTCCTGGAATTGAAAGTATTGGTCCCAGAAGAATGTTTGGTTTGTGTAGTTTTGATCTGCTGCAAAGCTGAGGGAGAACAGGTCCTTTCTGCGTCATTCACCATGTGCCTTGTTTTACTGTTTATCCTGCTTTGAAGAGCTTGTTCAAGGTTTTGATAGTTTACATTCCAAATATTTGGATACAGTTAGTCTTTATTGGTTGGTACACACATTCTTTACCTATGACTACAGTTGTGCATTCTTTGTCTGCCAGTAGCATAATGATGTTTTTCTTATTTTTCAGTCTTTTTAATGCTTTCTATTTCTGGGTGGTTGGCTGGGTGTTATCTTTCTTCTCTCTGGTTAGTGGTAGGAACGTTTGCCTAATTTCTTGTTGAATGTCCTCGTTTATTCTTGATATTTTAAGTGAAGATTCTAATACAGCGAAGAATTCTAGTTTAGGGGCATTCATTGCATCGTAATTTGGTTTCTTCTAAAGAAGTTATTCCTTTCATTTGGTCAGCCGTTGCTTTGATGAGTTGGTAACACAACCACTTAGCTCCTCCACTGTAAATGCTTTTGAAATTTTGATCAGCTTTTTCCCAAGAACTTTACTTTGTACTTCTTTGTGTTGTCTGCTTGATTTCTCAGTTGCTCTTGCTAACGTTCTCAGGTGCTGTGCTGTGAATCTGCTTTCTTGTTTTCTCTTTTTTTTTCAATCACAAGTTGCTACTTCGAAGTCCAATAGTGTTCATCTGCAGTCATCATTTGTACCATTCGTTATCCACCTTGTTCAGCTCTTTTCCATTTCATTGAACAATCAGTTGATAGTCTCTATCTGACACTCTTCGGTGGAGCATGCTGACGCAGAAACTTGTGGGGAGGAAATAACTGTTGTCTTGTAGAAGTTTGACTTCTGCAGGAGTTCTCACATCTTCAAACAAGGTAAAATGTGCTAAGCTTGTATGGTTTTGAAGTGCTGAAGAATATTTTTAGCTCAGAATGATGATCTACATCATCTTGCATTCTCTGAGCTAGACAGTTTGATCATGATGCTTTCATCATCTTTCTAGACTAACTTCTCAGCTCACTCCATACTAGCTTTAGTGCCGATGATGTCGTTAAACTATCCATTTGGGTGGACATAACACCTTCGAAAACAAATTCGTTGAGAGGGATTTCCTTTGTTGAACGACTTGCTCTTTAAAAAGGTAGCATCATTTTGTTACAGGTTTTTCGTCAGCTCCATTCGTCCTAAATAAATCCAAAGTAAATCAACACTGTAAAAAACATTGATAAACTTTTTATGGAGCATCTTGAGATACTGGTTATTGTTTTGAAGGACAGGTTGTATGCAGCTAATGAATACCTCACAAGACAAAATAACATCATCTTATGCTGTGAATGCCGTTCTCATATAGTTCATTAAAAGAGCCAACTGAATGATGCTTCTATCTTGTTATTGTCAAAAAGGTTAGGACTACAATTTTCCTTATCATTATGTTAGACAATGCTTGGATGAAATAATATTATGTTGACTAGTGGCTAAACGGTTATGTTTGGTTGGCTTATGTCTTCATATGTTGCAGTACTATAAGTGAGCAGAAGCCATTTGAATAATAACAAAAAAGACGGTGATCCTTTTATTACAACTGTTTTCGCAAAATGGTTTTTAAACTTTAATTCTGTTCAAATAAAATGCTTCTCTTAGATAGCATATAATGTAGATATATTTTATGAATCAGATTAGAATTGGTTGATATATATCAGGTGGTCTAATTATTGATCATTTAGTACCAAAAAAAATAGTAGGTGAGTACCTCGTTTACGGAGTGGTGTGAAATGTTGTCATATGATTGCTGAGTGAACTGGTGAGATTTTACAATGGTGCTGGTAGATATGTTGTATGTTCGAGTATAGTAGTGCAGTACAGTAGTGCTTAAGATACTAGGACTTGTAAGTTTCCCTACAAGTTTGTAGTGCAACACATCTGCAGATGTATGTAATTCAGCTCTCATTAAGTAGTTTATTCTAATCCCGTTTGACTGAAACCGTGAAGTTCATAGAAGGCCTTGTAATTTAACCATCAGAAAGTCTACTAATCACATCTCAAGATGATGAATTAACTGATTAGGTCTCCGTTTTACTTCGAGAGTGCTAATATCTAGAAGGACTATATCAGTGAAGTAAGATTGTTTTAGACCTATAATTTGTAGCAGATTTTCCATCAAGAAACATAATAATCTCTTCATTTCTGTCATTATTGTGTTTTATTGATGTTACCTTGTGGAAGAAACTTAAGAAATTGTCATTCTGCTCTCTGGAATACAATTTTAATTAGGCCTTCGACCATTCTTCTTATTCTTCATATGGGTCATTTTGGATATTTATCAAGTTATTGAAATAAATAGCATAAATTCATTAGGTCACTTGGTGTGTGCACAATATCCATGCGATTCACTGATATCTAATTAGTCTGTGGCGTCATAGTTTTTTAATTACAGAGTTTAAATTACTCATACCACTGTTAATGCTACTAATACTGTGGCGAACATCAGTACTAATATTTATATCATATACGTAATATTATTATATTATTATTACTACCACCAGTAATAATAACAATAACAATAAAAACTAGTGTATTTATTATTCTCCTTTTTATCGTGAAGATAGCACAGATAATGTGATTTAGCCCATATTATGTATCAAATAAGCTAATATTTTAATTGACTGCTTAGTAATTTGCATTGTTTTTGGTTTGGCTGTCCCACCAGTCGAGGATACATTGATGAAATGACTTTCACTTGTAATTTCAATCAGTAATGTGACTAAATGTGCCTATAAATGGTTCGATCCCTTCACTATTTGATGGAAATCGCTATCTTATCATAGATTCCTTATATTCAGTCAGTCAACCTAATAAGATGACTTAAAGATAAACTGTAGTGTGGAATTCATAGAACTGTTCACAAAATTCTCTTTTACAGTATTTTTCATACTGATTTTCGTTTAAAAGAAAAGACCCATGACTTTTAGAAGACTAATTTTGCATTTCCAATCAGTTTTTTTTGCTGTTGCACGATAGAGTCTAATCATTCAGTAAAAACACTTTAAAAATGGCATTATATACATTTTGATTGAACAGCAATCCATTCACACTTTCATTTTTATTTTAGCTGGTTGTTTGAATCCCTTCTAACAAAGGATATTTTCCTTGGAAGTTATAAACCACTACTTGATTTCGATGATGGGAAACAGCATGCTTAAAAATAATAAAAACTTCAGGGAGGACAACAACTGATGAACTGTTGCTGTTGTTTTCAAAGTCAGGTAAGTATAATAGTAAATGATAGTGAATTTATCCTAACATAAAGTAAAGACAAATGGCTCACATCATCATAAGGCAATGTAGAGCCGTGGAATATACTTCTGAACGATTAGAACAACTAGAAACTGCTTAGGCTGGTCCGCAGATTTCACCGGACAGATCAGAATCATGTAACCACTGGATGGACTTTTCGCCGTTTGTAGTAGAGTTTATTAGCGGTGTACCCATACAAATCCAGCCCACAGACTTACATTATACACATCATCTTAATTTGGCTAGCTGAATTAGATGGACCGATATATCTTGAATAGGATGATCACTGCACACTGCACGGTCTTTGTTGACACATCTTATAACTGAGTAGTTTTTCAGTTGATCAACTGTAATGTCAGCAAAATTTTCGTTGGAAATCATTCAGCCAAGATAATAAGGTGTGATCTCTGACACCAAATTGTCATAAACTAAAGAACTACTGAGCATTCTGAGTAGTTAGAAACCACTTAAGTAGATCTGTTGATTTCACCAGACAGAACGTGACACTATTGTGTTAGAAATCGAACCTTGTTATCTTAGCTGGGCTGTTCCCAGCGGAAACCTTGAGGACACTACAGTCAGGCAGCTGAAAACTATTCGCCCATAAGAAGTATCAACGCTGGCTTTGAAATTTGTACTTTATTTGCAAATGGATCATTCTACATAAAACCATGTTTGAAAAATTTACCTAGTGTCACTCTCTTGTGAAAATACCTTGATTTCAATGAACCTCTGCAAAACCTCGCGTGGATAACATTACAATCTTCATCATTGTCTCTTTAAGACAGATTTCTTGAACTTCTAAACAGATCTGTGATAAAAATCAAGTAGAGAGAGAAAGAGAGAGAGAGAGATGGATAATTTCAGACAACAGTGACCACTGTAAATCGTGAATAAACAAAATTAGAACAAGATATAGAATATTTAGATTTTAAACCAATGGCTAGATTTTAAGGTGTTTGATGAAACAATTCGAAAATCGCAGGTGTGCACCGCTGAGTAGTCCTAAACTAGGTCAAGATAGCTCTGCAGTGCCTTGACTTTTCCCATAGTTTTTCAACTAATTTTAATCTTTTATGAAGGAAACTGTGTAATGTTTGTCTAGTTTTGTGTTTCACCTCCTGAATACTAAGATGTGGTCAAGTTTAAAATGTTTATAATATTAACTGGACAATAAATTAGGTCTTCAAGTGATGCTAAAAGGTTTCCAAGAATTTTATCATTGAGTAAACATTTGTGCATGAGCAAAACACTATTTATATTTTCTGCATGATGATTTCCACATCTACATGACCGGAACCGTCAGCTGGATACTTTCTCTTTATTTCCCTGAAACAAACCCTTGCTTTTTATTGAAAAACGTGTTGTTTTAGGCAGTTATCAATAATTTTCCTTCTTACTGGCTTGTTGTGTGACTGAGTACACTTATCTAGGTAATTCATAATACTGCATATAGAGTTCAATAAAATTCAAACAGCTAAACTGCATGTTAACAGTTATTTCATAATTATTTTTGGTAGCTTACTATAAGATTCAACCTAAGCGAAAATCAGCATGCTAGTGGCAGTTACTGTATTCATCAGTACTAAAATAAAGCAATCATAAGCACAAAGTCAGTTGAAAAACTACAGAATCATAATATTTTGGTACATCATGAATGATTAAATCAAGAAGTTGTTACTTTATCGTTTTATATCTTGTGTAAGCTCAAGATAATGAAGTAAAATTGAACATCAAGAAGTTAGTTTTTCATGTGTAAGGTTGGTTTCAATGAAGAACCAGACAAACTTTCTCGTGGAAAGTTTCCGGAATTGATATACCCACATAGGTGTATTAAAGTACTTCAAACCATCGACTTATAACATCCCCATCATCTTAAGTTCATTTTGCTGAATACTAGGTATCTCAGCTGATTGTTTTACTCTTTAAAGTCTGTGTAGGACTAAAGTGGTCAGTGAACAACAATGTTAACCAACTTGTATTCAAGATAATAACTATCGTTTGGTTTTGTACTTGTCTACAATTTTCTGCATCAGTTGACCAGAATACACTGTCGAAATCAGGTTTTCAGTTGTGAAGCAAAAATCACTTAAATCCGTTTTATTACCATCACTGCATTTTATATATTTATGGCTTGTAAAACAGATTTTTCAACGGAATGTTCTCATGAGCTAAGTTTTCAACCTAAGAGCTGTTGATCACATTCCAGTCGTCATCTTTAGTTCAGCTTCATGGAATGTGTTTATATTTGATTTCTTATAAAAATTTATATTCCATCATTTTATCTAGTTTGGAAATGACTGGTTGGTGAATCTTCCTTTCTTCGTCAACGGTTGAGGCTTTTCGGTCAAAGAGCTTGTACTAAGTTGATCTCAACCAATTACTCATTTTTAAGATGTGTTCGTAAATATCTTTTCCTCTGTGCTGGCGGACTAAAATAAGTCTGATCAGTTTAATTAATTACGTGGCTAAGTTTTAGAACGACTGAAATTACTGCTTATAGGCAGGCGATTCTCACAGCTGATATCTTGAAACATTATGCAAAATATTAGGTCAATTTCGATTTCACTACATAGATGACACCGTAATTATTCGAAAGTATAGTTTGATCAACGTTGGTTTACAGGGATCAATTTTGCTGAAGAAATGAAAACATAGCGATCATTATTGGTATGTTTTAATGGTGCCTTGGAGATATCATGATAGCCACTCCCTGTGTGCTTGTGGTTGTCGTGTCGTCTAGGTGACAATATCGGAGTCAATGATTGACTCTTCAGTTGACACCTTAGAGAGTCCACTTCCATTTTATCTGCTGTTGCAGATTCCTAGCACTTCTATGCTATACCTTCTTATCTCCTTCGCAATCTGGGAAGCCTTGCTAGATTCAGATATAGTGCAAACATTCCATGTCCCCATGTTTACTTTCGCTTCTATCGAGAGAAGACAAATCGGTCAGTTGGCTTCCTGAAGGCTTTCACCAACCGAGGTTGTTTCTTCTCCCCGATTACAGCGAGGAATAAGTTCGTTTTTATTATTTATATTTTTTCTGTGCTTTCAAGCTTCTTTAGCGATTGGATTCGTTTTCTGGGGGTAGTTTTGGTAGCCCTATTCCCAACTTTTCCTCTTTATCCGGGCTTAGGACGTGTTAGTAACTATTGAACTAGGTAATCAGATGAGGTTAAGCTGCATCATCCTGGAGAGACTAAAGGATGCACCGGATCCAAAAATAAGACCATAACAGGCTGGATTCAGGAAGTACAAATCATGTGCGAATCCAGTTGCAGCGCTACGCAGCATCAAAGAACAGAGCATAGAATGCCAGTCAACTCTCTACCTCAACTTCATCGACTTTGAAATGGCCTTCGGCAGTGTCGACCGAGAACTAATTTGGCAACTGCCCTAAGACTAAGAAATGCCGCAAACCTTTATTAACCTCATTCAACAACTATATGAAGACGCCACATACCAAGTAATTCACAATGGGAAGCTCAGTGATGCCTTTGAAGTGAAGACAGGAAAGAGTAAAACAAGGCTGTCCACTATCACCCATGATATTCCTGGTTGTAGTCGACTGGATCATGCAACAAAATGTGGAGAGCGAGAAGTGGTGGATACGCTGGATCGGAGAAAAGATTCTACAAGATTTGGATTTCAACGCCGATGATGATTTATGTCTAATGTTTTGTAGCACAAACTTGAAGATCTACAGGCAAAAAGTAACAAGTTGATAGAAGAGGCAGGGTGGCGAAGACGGGAATTCAGGTGAAAGTAGAGAAGACAGAGGTGATGAAGATACCCAAATAACAACAACAGCAACAACAAGCTCCAATCACCATGAACGGGAGAAACTCAAAGCAAGTAGCCACTTTCATCTACCTTTCTAGGCAGCACTATTTCAATTACAGACGGCACAGACGAGGATGTCAAAGCAGCCAGGATCGGAAAGATGGCAAGACATGCGTTGATTAACCTCAAACCAGTATGGAGATCTACTGCACTGCCCTCCACTCAGCATAAAGCGTGAACAGCATCCGGATTTTCAATACCAATATCAGTCAATTCAGTGCTTCTAATTGATGGTTTAGAGACTTGGGGTGTTACGAAAGGGATTTGCAACAAACTACAGACATTTATCAACAATTGCCTACTCTGGCTCGTTACTGAAGCTGAGATGGCCAGAATAATAAGATTAAGCAACAAGGAACTCTGGCCTACCAACGAACCAACCAATAATCAATCACTCAACAAATATGCAGTGGAAGGAAGTGGAGATGGATTGGGCATAGACTGAGAAAGCGGACTGGAGGCATCACGTGCCATACTCTCTAGTGGAATCTAGATGGGAAACGACTAGTTGATCGTCCGATGTGATGATGACATGGAGGAGATTGTGTGAGGAAGAAATGAAAGCTTGTTGGCTGTCGTGGAACCAGGTTCAAAGTTTTGCAGAGAAGAGAGTGTACTGGAGACGAGCTACTGAAGCTCTGTGTTCCACTAGGAACCCAAGAAGCAAACAAATAATAATAATAGTGCCTTACAAAGATGTTCTATATACTTAACACGAGGAAGTAAGTAGTTGTTGCCAGCAAATGGACCCTGTCTTCGGTATTTTGGCAAACCAGACCTTGCAAGGAGAAATCTTAAGTCAGAAGTACAATAAACAAGGTTTTTCGAACTGTTTTATCTAATGTTTCACCTTTAAGTTTGGGGTTCACATAGTCATTTCTTAGACACTTGTAAGTTATGTGGAAAATCGGGCTTACTTTACATATGTTCATCGACAAATAAGTTTAGTTATCATCTTTGAACCAAAGCTCTGCTGCAGAATTTCCATTCTCTAACTAATTGATCTACATGCATACCTAGTAAATTCAGATGCAGATTTCTTTCTTTGCCCATAGGAAGAAATCTAGAGAACTAACCAACTGTTTAATATGTCTTAGACTACGGTAAATTGATATTTGAAGTAGTTCATCACTTCTCTTTAGGAATTGAACATTTAAGAAAACCAGTTTACATTTTGACTGGATTTTAAGTATGAAATAACAATGGGTGAACCAGCAATGTTGAAAATTTCAAGAAATGTATTACATTATCGTTTAACTATCTGAGATAGCTGTAGTTTGGCAGATTAGCATTTTATACTGCGTGATGATTGAAGGTGAGATGAAAATTTGGACCACGGCCGGACTGAAACCAGCGATCACAGGGTTCACTGGTTCGAATCCGGCCACGGTTCAGATTTTCATCTCACCTTCAATCATCAGGCAGTATAAAATGTGTTACACTCAATTTTATCTTTTTCAACAATAAAACTTTCGTTTATAAATCGCTTGTAGACACTGATTTGATTGACAGACATTTGCAGGTTACTGGACTATAAATAAGCCGTAAAACAGTCAACAAGTGGGCAACCTCATTGAAATTTTATGTGTACCCTCATCTTGTGTCTATATATTATTTTGTTGAATAATAGCTGGACGTTTAATGTACCTCTTAATGTTGACGCTTGAATCTATGTATATCCTATTGTGTATAGAGCTTGAAGGTTGCATCTAAATTTATGCATAGAAGTGGCCCAAGGTATCTTTGAATTTTTTTGTCTACTTATAGAATATAAATTCTGAGGCTCCTGTAAATGGAATAGATGAAAACGTTGAAGATGGTGATATACTGCAAGAGATTGGAAATGCTCAATATACACTTGATTTTCTTCGTCAAGTTGTTCAACAATCAACCATGTAAGGTGAAGTATTTAATAACTGTTCATTTGCGCAAATAAAGTATTCATTTCTAATCTAACTAGTAGAAAATTTTATATCATGAATGTCATTAGCTGGTATTCAAATGATAAATGGGGTTTCAATATACTAGGAAGAGGAAGACAATTCGAAATACCTGGATCCTAGATTGCTTTAGGTTTGTTTTAGCTGACTGTCTTGCACTTCTCCCTACAGCTGACCAAACTGTTAGCTTTGTGATAGAATTGTCTAAAGATCTGTCCGGGGTTATGATATTATGTTTTTGTTAAAATTCTTGTCAAGCGTTGAATTGTGTTTCTTCGAAAAATTTCTTTCGAGAGGTCCTTCAGCTTATCTCACCCAGCTGTTCATTCCACGTAGGTTGGTCACCTTCGAGTTCAAAAGCATGCTGGTGAGTAGATCATCTTAGTTCATCTGTTTTCATTGAGAGGGTTGAAACTGTTTCAGACAATGATCATTAGAAAGCAAAAAAATATAAAGTACGCGGTGTTCGGGAAAGAAACACTTAAGTTTTTTTTCACACTCTGTCGAGAGGAAAGAATTCTGTTCTGTCGTCAGTTAGACGTTAGTCAAGTCTCGAAGCATAACGCAGTAGAAAAAGCTCTATGCTTTTTAGTAAATCCTTTCTTTTACACTATACGTTTTTGCTGTAGTGTGCAGAGATTTGCTAACTGAGGGTTTTCTGTTTGCAGCTGCCTTTTTTCACTCTTCCTTAGTTATTCAGTGAAAAGAATGAAGTAAACTCGTAAAAGAATGTTCGATAGATTTATCTCTGCACACTTTTTCTCTTCACTCACATATATTACTTAATATACGGAAAATACAACTGCTTGCATTAACTGTGCCAGAGCTGAATATCAACATGGAGAAAATGGGAAGCATATAAACATCTTGTATGTACAAATGATGCAGTTTGTTGAAGAAAACCCATTTAAACATACACAGTAGTTTCAATGGTCAGGCACTTATTTATTGAGTCTTAGGGTATCAATTGATTTGAACCACCTGAGTTGAATTAACCCATATACCTTGAAGCTAGATTAACTACATGCATATTACTAACGAGCCGTATGGTTCACATGACAGCACTGTTCTGCAATCTGTCACAGCCGGTGGACTTGTTTTGGCAGTTTTTAATAAAAAGTGTTTCAGATAATGCTGTTGAAAATATGGTCAGTTGTTCAAAATGTTTTTGGGAGTATTATACTGCTTGAAATGGCTTGCAAGTTATATACTAAACTGCAGATATATTGCTGTTAAATTCTTCTACGGTAGAGAAAAAGGTAATAAAGATAATCAGGTCAGAAACGTTGGTTCGATTTTAATGTTTCCTATAAAAGTCTGATTCGTTTTTGACAATACTTATTAGCCTAGGGGATAACGCTGTGCTATGTAAGGCGATGGATGTTGAATCTATCCTCAGTAGGCTAATACGTTTTGCCGTCATTTTCGTGCTTTGAAATTAGTTTCAGTACACCTAGTTATCTTCCAGAAGATACCTTATGTCAAATTCTTTTAAAACTGTTTTATGTTCAAGTACAGTTACTGAGGTCTTTTGAAATGCAAACCACTACTTAACTAAAGTTCTGAAATGTTAAGTTTAACAAATAACTGCATTCATAGTAATTTTTGTGAATTAAATAGGATAATTTGTAAAAATGTACGATATTTCATCCACAATAATCATAATATAATCAACACAGGTCAATTTCCAATTGTACCATATATGAAATGATAGACAATGAACACCGAATAAAATATTTCAAGCAAAGATCAGATGCATAAGCCTTGATAATGAGCACCAACAAGCATGAAACTTGGGTTCAGAGCCTTTTGTCAAGCTATTCCAACCATTTACTATCAATAAAAGTACATCATGATGCTGAGTCTCTCATCTTGATCGTCACATTTCAAAATGGTCAATAGGATCCGATCAGTATTTAGAACTTGACGACATAAAGTTAGTAACTCTTCAGTGACCAATCAGTATAAGAATGAGATGATTATAGACGACCAGTTGTATTTATTTTTCTGTCCTAACATCTTACCGTTGTGATGAAAAGACTTTACATTCCATAATGTAGCTTTTGCAATATCTCTTTAGTTTACTTTTAAGAGTAATTAAAAGAGCTTAAGACAATTTCTCAGCAGGTTTGTCTGGATACATTAGCTAAAAGTATACTTGTAAAACCAAATCTTTAGCTATAGATTGAGGTATATGTATTGGAGAGGTAGTATCATTTGTCAGTCTTCAAAGATATTATCAGAAATAATTTTTTGGTTACTTGTAAAGGTTTTTATAATACATTACATTATATTTGCACAGTGAAGCAAATAAAATGTTGCTCTCAAATCGAGCCAAATGAATCTAAGAGAACATTGTAACTTAGCATGCATCCCTAATTCATTTAACAATCACTATAGGTAAACAAATAGGCTTTCTGTAACATGTGATTTCACTTATGAGTATTCATTTGCAAAGAATTTATTTTACTGCCTATCCTCACTCCTTTTATGAGTGCTGAATAGGCTTAAAAGCAAGAAGTATGTAGTGTTTATGAACAAGTTCATCGACCAACTTCTCAGAAATGCGTTTACCTCCTTATTTTTCATTTACATTTAGCAGAATGTGTAATGGGTTGTAAAGAGATGTAAATGGTTATGGTTTCATAGAACAAACTTAAAATTAATGATTTGGTGCCCTCTAAGCTCATGATATTTTTCATTTCTGAGCTTATAGAATACTAAGCCATCATCAGGCCTATTATAAGCAGAAATTCTTTTCCATTAATTCAAGATAAAAATAGCATAAATGTTTAACAGTGAACTGTTGTAGTAGCTTATGGTGAGAGATAAATTACCATAATGAATATGAAGAAGGATATGAATATTGTAGGGTTATTCTATATAAAAGAATCATATAGACGTTTCAGCGAAACACAAACAATGAATACTTTTTCAGCACATGAGAACACTGTTCTGTCACCGATCCATTGTATAGAACAAATCTGTTAGTCACTGGTTGTAGAATTGGTGATTCCAAACCTTGTCTATCTTGATAAAAACCTGACTATGTACCAATTAGTAACCTAGATCGATTTACTATCTAATAAAAGTGGTACGCATAGTATAACTTATCACATTCCTCATTAAGTTAAAAAGACCCTATATTTTTCTCAGAGTTCTAAGTGATCACGTTTTAATGGTTTCATTGCTTTCGGCAGATGAAACAGCTATGTTGAAAGGTCTAGAATCACTGAACTATGGGTCCAGTAAATATACTATGTCAGAATCACGAAGTCTACCAGTTAAAGCTCTAGCTAAAATAAAAAGAAAATTTAATCATCGAGTCACATATCACAAGATTGAAAAATACAATATATAACTTAAGTATTTTACCCAACTTGAAGGGATCTTTTAACGCAGATAAGTATGCGCTAAGGTTACAAGTCAGAAATCCTCCTTTAGCATAACTTTTATAATATTTTTAAGTAGATTTGGCAGCTTAAGCCAAGGCATTGGGTCTAGACTGCTGAATAACACTGGTTGAAATCACTCAAAAACCTTGACTTTCCTTAAGACATTAAATATAAGCTCAAGATGAATATAAGGAACCAAAGATTCCTGTTCACATGATGATTTTTATGCTACAATGATCGATGTTTACTTTTTGAGATCCAAGTAAAAATATATCTTCGTTTACTGTCTTCTACACAGGTCAAAGCTTATACTTTTCAATCGAATATTAGTTCTTAACCGTAAAAATACCCATGGATATCTATAAGAGATCATGAATAAGAATGGTTTCTTAAAGACGTTTGTTAAACAAAATGTAAACCAACAACATCGTGAAATCTACGTCTAGCATAATTTTGTATTCCTTGAAATTAAATGACTTTTACTTTTTCCTTATAGTCTAGTTCACTTTAAATTTTATCGGCTGATTTGCGTAAAAAATGAAGAACGATTTTATTTCAAAACCTTGAGATAAACTGGGGACTTTTAGGTATTACCTTCTTAATAGCAAAGAGCGTAATCCATGGCATACGTTGTTTCCCGAAATGTGTCTGCAACGTGACGCATTTTAATGTTCCAAATTAGACAGTTTGCCTTTTGAGTGGTACGGTAATCAACGGTACAAAATCCCAATAAGTGCAGCCATCAAATAGATAAAATCCAAAGAAAACTCAATGCAATAGTGGAGAATATTTGTAGCTCAGGTGGATGTACTTGGTTGTGTTGTGTTCCCTGAGCTGGGTTGTTTAATCGTGAAGCTTTCATCATCCTTCTAGACGACATTATCAGCACTAACTTGAGTATGAAGTGAGCTGTCGATATCTCTCCGTGAGTGATTTAGTAGCTTGCCTTGACGAAGTGGGCTGTGATTAGTTGTTTCCTTTGATTGTTGTGTCATTGACTGTATAGAGCTTCCTGTTGCCTGTTCCTCTGCTTGACCTTTGACCTTTCTGTCATTTATCACCTTCCTTATTGGTTGATAGATTGGGTCTATGTCTATACATCTGCTGATTGCTGACTGACCTGAATGCCAAGCTTCTAGGAATTCTCTGATATATTTTGTGTTTCCTCTGTTCAAAATTTCTATATTGTTGAAATTGAATTCGTGTCCACATGCATTGAAATGAGTGATGAAATGTCATGACGTTTAATAGCCAATTGGTGTTCATGTAGAGACGACGGCAAAGGGGGCGACTACTTTATCCAATGTAGTGTTGACTACAGTTATTGCAGTTGATTTTGTAAATGATATTCGGTTTGTCTTCTTTGGTTGTTGCAACCTTTGGTCTTCTTAATATTGTTTGCAGAGAGATGAGACATCACGCTCAAATGAACACTCAAGAACAGAAAACATTAAAAAGGCTGAGAAATAGGAAAGACATTGTTATACTTCCATCAGAAAAAGGATGCGCTAAAGTAGTCATGGACGAGGAAGACCACATCAGGAAAGCAAAAGAATTGAT